TACCATGGAATACGATTTTCCTTTTCTGAAATATACTAATGAACAAGTGATATACCATTATCAATTATGCAAGCAATACAATAAAAAAAAAAATTAACAGGTAAGCAGCGCTATATTTTCTGAAAATATTCTATTAATACTTTTTTCCCCAATTTATAAAGAACCAATTTGTATGTAAAAGAAAAAAAATTAAAAAATATAAATTAAACTAAAATTTAAATATGTTTTTAATCTCAATTGTATCGACTAGTAAAAGGGATAGAAGTGTTAAATAAATGAATTCCGAAAGTCACTCCATGCGTTTTGCTAGCTTAATTTTTTTTGAGTAAATACCAATTTTAGTCCTTGAATTTGTAATATGCTATCATATTAACCTTTAAAAATAAGAAATTATTAACAGAAAAAAAGTCTTTATAATATTAAAAAAATTCTTAAATTTATCTATTACTTTTAATTTGATCCTTAAAAAAAATAAAATAATATATATATATATATATATTTATATATTATCACTTTAATCATACATTCATTTGAGTTTTGAATTAATATGATTGTCTATTTACAGTTTTAGAGACATACCTGACAATTTCTAAATTTTAGAAACTAATAAAACCCATTTTTCAAATTCAGAGACCAATTTAAATATTTATTCCTTGATTTTTGGTATCCAATATTTAATTTCTACTACTTTAAGTAATTGTTAATTTTAGAAATTTGTTATTGTTAAAACCATGTAATAAATTTTTGCCCAGTCACATTTTATTTCCAATTCCGTCCCAGCTGGAATCAATATTGGTGATAATTAAGTAATCCTGGTCAGATTTTTCTCTAGATTCGAGGAACAATTAATTTTGCTGTGATTAGAGTTTGCTCAATTTGTTTAAGGCTGATGATTTCAATTTTGTGGGGGCTTTACCTTTTTGACGTTACTAGCTCGTTGTGTTGTGGATCCCTGTATTAGACCTTCTACGTTGATCTTTGTTCGATTTACGTAATAAATCTTTTATTAAAGTTCTAAAATTAATTCCATTTGCTTATTGAAAGGAAAAAAAAATCACAAATCAACACGATCCTGTTGCTCATACCAGAATATCATAAAATTGACTAGATATGAAAAACCTAAAGCTAAATATGATAGAATTCTTTTCAAGCATCCTCACAAAAAACTTAAAATTCAAACGTTAGATTACATCAACTTAAGTTGGGTGCAAATTAAAATAGACAAATGATCTTAGAATTTTATTTAATTAACTCATACTTCATGTTGATTACATAATTTTGAAATTAAAAACATTAAACTGCATACATGATAAGCAAGTAAAGGAAATGATTTTATTCCAACACCAAACAATGTAGTTGTAATTGTAAAATTCACTGGTTGACTTGGCAGCATTTAGCTAAGGTTGCTCATCTTGATCATTGCATTAGCAAAATCTGTTTGGAATTTCAATGGAAAAAGGCCAAAGTTATATAACAAGCATATGTGTATACCTGACAGAGCAACCATCTCATTGGCAGTGAAATTTTTCTTGGCAAAAGCAGTGATAAGAGAGAATCAAGATCCATAGAAGGAGTTGGTATATCAGAATTAGCAGCACTTAAACTTGCAGTGGTTGAATCTCTTCTTCCTAAACCAACTGTCCAAGTAGGTCCACCCATGTGAGAATTATTGTTGTTCATCAATCAGTCATCGACCATATAAATCGTAGTTAGTTTATGAGAAATACGAGTAATTAGCACAATTTTTTAATATTTTTTTATTACCTGAAATTTACTTCTTATTTAATATACCTCATTATGATTTTGTTATTTTTAATAAATTTAATTATTAGTTCCTTCAGAAATATCAGATAAATTTTAATCAATAAAAAAAATGTATTAAAAGAGTTTATTATAATGTTACAGTAACACTTAACAGTACTTCTCTCAGTTTGTTTTATGTTATTAATTTAATTTATTTTATATCTATTCATAAAAAGTTTTTCAGTCAATATATAATTACCCGTAGTTATATTCTACAAATAAATTTATTTAATTCGAAGAACAAATTAATTATGTGTGTATATATTTGGGGAGTAATTTTATGGTAGCTAATAATAGTGTTTATCCCAATGACCATTACTTACAGCAACAACAGAATCTGGTGCAACAATGGCTATGATGTCGGCGCAAGAGACTACACCAGGGCATGAGGTTTCTAGCTGAGATTTGATATTGTCTATAACATCAAAACCTCTCAATGAATTAGCGTTTTGAGAAGCTGTTTTCTCGCCTGTGAAACTATCTGTGTCGTTTAACAGTACAGATGCATCACATCCCTGTAAAATGGGTCTTCGGTCATGTCTGTAGTGAACTACTGATTGAATATCTTGTCATGGGAGTTGCAGAGATACAACAGTAGTGGTGGCCGCCAAGTTGTGGGGTGAGGGAGAGATCGGGGTGAGAAAGAGAGGACACAACTTAG